TGTGTGTGTTTGTGTGTGTGTGTGTGTGTGTGTGTGTGTTGCACTTGTTTGACTGCTGAGAGTCTTATCTCAGTACAAGACTGCCCTTCCTGAAACAGTTGCAGGTGCCAAGGCTGGGTCCTCTTTTGAGGCTTTTGTCCAGCTGTAAGATTTGGGGTTCACCAAGATGCAACCAAGGGACGCGGGTGGCGCTGTGGGTAAAAGCCTCAGCGCCTAGGGCTTGCCGATCGAAAGGTCGGCGGTTCGAATCCCCACGGCGGGGTGCGCTCCCGTTGCTCGGTCCCAGCGCCTGCCAACCTAGCAGTTCGAAAGCACCCCCGGGTGCAAGTAGATAAATACGGACCGCTTACTAGCGGGAAGGTAAATGGCGTTCCGTGTGCGGCTCTGGCTCGCCAGAGCAGCGATGTCACGCTGGCCACGTGACCTGGAAGTGTCTGCGGACAGCGCTGGCTCCCGGCCTCTAGAGTGAGATGGGCGCACAACCCTAGAGTCTGTCAAGACTGGCTCGTACGGGCAGGGGTACCTTTACCTTTACCTTTAAGATGCAACCACACAGCTTTAGTTATAGGAATTGCAATTTCCCCTACAGACTTAAGAGAACTAGATTTTCTTTATTTAGCTACCAGGCTCGGTTCAAGTACATAACCCCACACACCAGCACTTGATCAGTGCATTTTGCAAGAGGGCATCCTGCAGACACTACCCTATCCAGGAGGTCTGGCATGACATCAGAACTGGGCCTTTAATGTGGCAGCACCTCCCCTTTGGAACTCCCTCCTAAAAAAAAGGTAAAGGACACCTGTACGGTTAAGTCCAGTCAAAGGCAACTATGGAGTTGCGGCGCTCATTTCGCTTCAGGCTGAGGGAGATGGTGTTTGTCCACAGACAGCTTTCCAGGTCATATGGCCAGCATGACTAAACAGCTTCTGGCACAATGGAACACCGTGACGAAATCCAGAGCACAAGGAAATGCCCTTTACCTTCCTGCCACAGTGGAACCTATTTATCTACTTGCACTGGTGTGCTTTCGAACTGCTACGTTGGCAGGAGCTGGGACAGAGCAACGGCAGCTCACCCCGTCATGGAGATTCAAACCACCAATCTTCTGATCGACAAGCCCAAGATGCTCAGTGGTTTAGACCACAGCGCTACCTGCATCCCTTTGGAACTCCCTCCTAGACAGTTTTTTAGCATATGCTAAAGACATTCCTCCTTCAATAAGCCTTTTTTTTATTCCAGTTGGAACAGCATTGAATTCATTTTGTGTGAGCTGCTTTAATCTCTCTTTCTGTATGTGCGTATGCACTTTTTTTTAAAAAAAAATTAATTGCTTTTATATGTTTTAACTGCTTTTATCTATGGAACTGTTTTATATGTTTTTATTATACAGGTGTGTCCCCCCCCACACTTATGTAGGAGTTATGTCCCAGGCTTCTGTGCACATAAGTGAAAATTGTGCAAGTGGGGAGCACCCTCTAAGCATGTGTTTTTTTCCTGCTCTCTCTCTCCAAACTTGAGTTGAATCTCTGGGATTGGCTGGAAAATCGCCAGCTGCTGCGCTACCACAAGCGTCAGCTACTAGGCAGGGAAGCTGAGCAGTCTAAACAGAGCTCTGCTGCATCTACTGTCTCTTTGGGGCTTCCTCCACCCTCACTGAAGTCCTCTTCAAGGTCCAGGGAAGGTCTCCTTATGAGCCACGAGGACTCTCCAACTCTCCCTTGCCATTTCCTGGTTTTTATCTATCTATTCATTTATTTCCCAGCACCGCACGTATATGCAGTCGCACATGAATGTAAGTAGGGGGACATCACAGCCTAGGACCCTCGTACCTATGGGACCGCCTCTTCCGGCATGCCCCCAGAGAGCCTCAAGGTCCATAAATAGCAACACCCTAGTGGGCCCAGGCCGTAAGGAAGTTAGATTAGCTTCAACCAGAGCCAGGGCCTTTTCAACTCTGGCTCCGGCCTGGTGGAACGCTCTGCCTCATGAGACCAGGGCCCTGCAGGATCTGATTTCTTTCCGCAGGGCCTGTAAGACAGAGTTGTTCTGCCTGGCCTTTGGCTTGGAGCCAATTTGATTCTCTGCCCCTCTTTCTTTTTTCTTTTTCCTTTTTCCTCCTGTGATGAGGCTGCATTTCAATATTTTAATGTTTCAATATTTTAATTGTTGTATTTTAATCTTGTTTTTAACTTGTTTTTATTATTGCTTGTTAGCCGCCCTGAGCCTGGCCTTGGCTGGGGAGGGTGGGGTATAAATAAAAATTATTATTATTATCTGTATTGTAAATTGCTTTGGGGATGCCTCACGGGAAGAGATCAATTAAATAATTTAATAACAATTTACTTAGCTGTAGCTTGTAAGATACAGGTGAAACACCGTTCCTCTTGAGCTACAAATTAAAATAGGAAATGTACGAAGCACTGCTGTGTTCTAGGGATACTGCAAACTGTATGAAGAGGTCACATCGTCTGAACAGAATTCTTCCAGAGAGATGGATACCATTTCTGAAGCTTTGTGTTATGCCATGTCATACCAAATTAACTAAAGGCTGCTTGCTCCAGGGCCAGCCGATTCGCCTGCTTATTGGTGCTCATGCAAATTAAAGGAAAACCGAGACATCCTTCCATGACTAACTGCCTGGTATGGAGATCTGCTGTTCCTGTGGTAGTGCTGCTGTGTTCTCATTTCCACACTGGCTTTAATTAGTATGCATCCAGCGCTCTGCAAATATTGGCATCCCTTTGCTTAAGGGAAGGAAAGGGTAAAGAGAGCAAGCAGCAACTAGCTTATTAAGCAAACAAATCCAGCATGCAGCTAGCTAGCCAGACTGATTATTAGTGGCTTCAAGCTGATGTTTGTTAAAGCGCTACACAATTTAATTGACCCAACTTTGTACTTCTATATTCCAAAATGTTAATATCTATATTGGATTGAAAGGAGGCAGATTCAAGTTAGCTGACTCCTTCTCAGAGACTCGTTCCAAGATGCTAATTACAACTGCAGCAAAATCACTATTTTTTAAAATCTCTCATTTTAAAACGGTTATGCCTCTGCTTCCTCTTTATTCCCTTTTTGGGGACCCTTAAGGACAGAGATGTCATCTTTCACTTACTTCAAAAGCTAACTAGGTTCCCCTGAAAACTCAAGCCTTTCCAAATGACTATGCTTTAAATAAAGGTAATGTGTTTTGTAAAAAAAAACCTTGTAAAAATTTAAGTTTGCAAACTACAAACTGAAGGTTAAGCAGAACACAAAAGTGGTTTTTGCAAACTAAGAGCAAGTTCAGTTTGCAACATTATTTTCTTGGGGGGGTGGACTAAAATGTAAGCCATTCCTCAATTTTCAGAGTTTGTGACCCATTGAAAAGAGAAAACAGACTCTTAATAAATTATAGACTGCGCTTTATTTAGTATTAAAAGTTAAATATACATAATAGCTTCACAAATGACAATTTAGGTTTAAATGCCTGAAATATAATAAATCAATGTGGAATGCAGTGAAAAATTGGAAGTAACATTAACACAGATCCATGTTTTACTGTAAAGCTGAACCTAAAAGGAATAAGAATTGCCTCTCCCACTGAACTGGTACAGTTAAAATTGCTGCACACCCTGCAATTAGAATGGGGCAAAATTACTTAATCAGTTGGGGCAGAAGAGTGACCAACTGGATTATGGAAAGGAATGATGGGGAAAACTGGTGGCAGTCTTTTATTTACTGGCACTGGTAAAGAGATATTCTTTCATAACATACCAACCCTAGCTTGGAAGATAAGCTATATGATGAATTTCTATAGGCAGGAAGCATTACGTATATATTGGCCTACAGTTGCACATATTCTGTTGATACTTTTAAACTTTAGGTGAAAAACCAAGTACTTTTTTAAAACGAAGTCCATTTTAAAATGGCTAATGATTCCTCTTCCTCATTAGTTTCCCAACTATAAACACAATCTTCCATCTTAGAAGTGCTGGTATTATGTAATACCTGCTCATTTTGAAAGGGCTTGTGTGGAAGAAGATTAAACTCACAAGGTATCCTAAATTATAGCTTGGGATACTTCTCCCAATTTATTAGTCTTACTGACTTAATTTTAAACCAGATTCTTCTGAAAAAGCATTTCTGAGACAAGCTTAATGGAAATAACTCTTCCAATTTTTAACAAGGAGAACAAAAAAATGACACGGCATATCATAAAAAATGTTTTGCCTAGTTCAGCCTTCCCCATCCTACTGCCCTCCAGATGTTGTTGGCCCAGAGCTCCCATCATCCCTGACCAATGGCCATGCTGGGTGAGGTTGATGGTAGGTTGAGTCTAGCATCTGGAAGGCAAGCGGTTGGGAAGGTTAGCCAAGTTCAATCTGATTAGACTCAACTGATGGGACAGCTGCCTTTTGAGTTACAAGCAAAACAATACTTCTTTGAATACAATACTAGGAGACATTCCAGAAAATGCTTTTTTATACTAAAAGGAAAAACAACAACATCCAGCAAACGTTTGCAAGCACCAACTATCCAAAACCAGCACGGATTTATTTATTTTTTAACTGCAGTACCTTCTGACTTTTCACATCTCTTTGGTTGGAAGGAATAGCTACCTCTCCATGACCTTCTTAGTGGACATTACAGTTTAGGAAGGAGGATAAGTAATGGAGGGGAGGTACCGTATTTTTTGCTCCATAAGACACACTTTTTTCCTCCTAAGAAGTAAGGGGAAATGTCTGTGCGTCTTATGGAGCGAGTGTGTGGTCGATCGCTGGCTCCCTTTCCAGCCCCACCTCCTTGCCCAGGCCTCCATTGTTGAATGTTCTGCAGACGGAGGCTGTTTGTTTCCCCAGCGACATGTGACTGGCTGATTAGATTATCTGTCTGGAAAGAGCTCCCTTTCCTAAAGAAGCTGCAGAACTGTGAGTTGAACCCCATAAAAACAGGATATTGTTCCCTTTGCAAAGTAAGCTCAACAAATTTGAGCTCATCCTCAAAAAAGGGGGCTTTTCCCCTTTGCAAAAGAAGCTGCACAACTGTGAGCTGATCCCCCCCAAAAGGGGCTTTCCCTCTTTCCTCCTCTAAAAACTAGGTGCGTCTTATGGAGCGTTAAATTCCGCATTTCATAGATGCCAACTGCCTGCTGTGTCTGCCTTTTCTTCTCGTTGGAAAGTGTTCCACTCATGCTCAAGCAGCCTTTACACACACACACCTCATGACTCAAAAGTCTCTTCTCTCTGGGGGAATAAAGGCAACAGCTTCTCACGTTCTTTGCTTGGGCCTTAAACCCTAATCTGATGGTTCAGGTATGACTTCAACTGCTACACTTGCTGTGTGACCTACATTGGTCCCCAAATCACCAGAAATGTGTGGAAGAGGGTGGCACGGACAGATCTTTAGAACCTGAACGCATCAGTTTAGACTTAAGGGATTGGTGACCCAAGGACAAACCTTTAGTGTGCCTTATACAAATAGGTTGTTTCTTTTTTAAAAAAGGATCATATGCTAGACTTGCTCTGGAGCAACAACTTAAGCAACATGACAGCTCATGTTTCAGCTTGTTAACTGTTCAAAATGGTGGAGCACCACTGCTATAACCGGATGGTGAATAAAAGTGGAAAACATTCCCTTGAAGGAAACAGACTAGCACTTTCTGCTTAAGGAAACAGCTCTTCCTGTAGTCTGCACAAACAATACGTCACTATAAATAACATTCTGAGGATTCAAGTATTAACTCATCTACTCTGCAAAACTGCACATGTCAGTAGCTTTGAGGGACAAAGGTGTTTCACCGAAGTCTGGCAAAGTGCTGTTTTAACTGTTTGATTAGTTGCTTCGTATCCACGTGCTCTGGAAAAGCTTCTTCAGACTTCTGACTGGCTGCATAACTCCTTTGGATATCTCCAGCCTGCAAAAGACACACAGGCCGAAGGACACAAACATGTCATCAACACACTTTTTTTTTTACTAGGTTGGTCACACCCCAGTCTCTTTAAAAATTCCAACTCCCAAGACAGAATCCTGACTTGGCTCCAGTCACTCACACCCTCATTTATTTCCATGGATTACAGTAATGCATTCAACAGGAGACTGTTTCAGAATGCCAATAGTTCTGACTTGAGTCAATAGATCAGATCTCAAAACACCACTGTTTTATCTTTTATACAAAGGACGAGGAAAACGTGTAGAAACAAAATGCCCATAAAAAGCATTGATAAAAAATACTGCTGCCTTCCCCAATGCTTCTAATATTGGATATCTTTAGCATACTCAGGAATCAAAGTCTTGTGTCTCTTTTGTAGGAAATGCATACTTTTTGTGTGTTCTGCAATTTGATTTTGGGCTCAATTGGCAGTGCTTTAGAGTCCCAAACTTCCTAGGACCAATAGATCTCAAGCATATCCACACCCAACATGAGCTTGCGCAAGTACTCTGGATTAACAAAACTTTCAAACAATCTACAAAACATAAGGTACATTTAGGAAAACCACTTGTGAAACCCATCATTGGAAGTTTGAAAATGCTTCCCCAAAACTACAATTTTCATACAAAACTTCCCTTGATAACCTAGAGAAGACCGTACACTTCCTGTGCCTACTGGAGAGAGAACGAAAGCATAAAGCAATGATGATGTTACCTTATCAGACAGTACAGCAAAATTGAAGTGTGGCTCATACATATGAGGTGCTATCCGTGCAGCAGTCTGCAGAAACACTCTTGCCTGAAGAAGAAGCAGACACACAACTGACCTATAGATTTGTCTAGGGCAAGATATTCCTACTTTTCATTTGTTATGCAGTTGGGACAGTCAGAATATAGTGCATTTTAACTAGAGGGCTGGTGGGGTTTGGGTGGCAAAGTTGTAGTTTCTTTAAATTTTGCATACTGTAATCCTTGTGCATAACCACCACTTTACCTGATGTTTAGTTTTATTGCACACTTTATTTTCACATGAAATCACTGTATCCCAGTTTTCCCCTTGCATACTTTGTACCCTATATTTCTCAATCCCTAAGACTCTTTTCTTTAATAATAATAATAATAAAAAAATAATAATTTATTATTTATACCCCGCCCATCTGGCTGGGTTTCCCCAGCCACTCTGGACGGCTTCCAAAAGAATATTAAAATACTGTGATACATCAAACATTAAAAGCTTCCCTAAACAGGGCTGCCTTCAGATGTCTTCTAAAAGTCTGGTAGTTGTTGTTCTATTTGACATCTGGTGGGAGGGCGTTCCACAGTGAGGGCGCCACTACCGAGAAGGCCCTCTGCCTGGTTCCCTGTAACTTGGCTTCTCGCAGTGAGGGAACCGCCAGAAGGCCCTCGGTGCTGGACCTCAGTGTCCGGGTAGAACGATGGGGGTGGAGACGCTCCTTCAGGTATACTGGACCAAGGCCATTTAGGGCTTTAAAGGTCAGCACCAACACTTTGAATTGTGCTCGGAAACGTACTGGGAGCCAATGTAGGTCTTTCAAGACCAGTGTTTTAAAAGGTCTCGTCGGCTGCTCCCAGTCACCAGTCTGGCTGCTGCATTCTGGATTAGTTGTAGTTTCCGGGTCACCTTCAAAGGTAGCCCCACGTAGAGCGCATTGCAGTTGTCCAAGCAGGAGATAACCAGAGCATGCACCACTCTGGCGAGGCAGTCCGCAGGCAGATAGGGTCTCAGCCTATGTACCAGATGGAGCTGGTACACAGCTGCCCTGGACATGGATTTAACCTGTGCCTCCATGGACAGCTGTGAGTCCAAAATGACTCCCAGGCTGCGCACCTGGTCCTTCAGGGGCACAGTTACTGCATTCAGGACCAGGGAATCCTCCACACCTGCCCGCCTCCTGTCCCCCAGAAACAGTACTTCTGTCTTGTCAGGATTCAATCTCAATCTGTTTGCCGCCATCCATCCTCCAACCGCCTCCAGGCACTCACACAGGACCGTCACCGCCTTCACTGGTTCTGATTTGAAAGAGAGGTAGAGCTGGGTATCATCCGCATACTGATGAACACCCAGCGCAAACCCCCTGATGATCTCTCCCAGCGACTGCATGTAGATGTTGAAAAGTATGGGGGAGAGGACAGAACCCTGAGGCACCCCACAAGTGAGAGCCCAGGGGTCTGAACACTCATCCCCCACCACCACTTTCTGAACACGGCCCAGGAGGAAGGAGCGGAACCACTGTATGACAGTACCCCCAGCTCCCAGCCCCTCAAGACGGTCCAGAAGGATGTTATGGGCGATGGTATCAAACGCCGCTGAGAGATCCAGCAGAACTAGGAAACAGCTCTCACCTTTGTCCCTAGCCCGCCAGAGATCATCAACCAGTGCGACCAAGGCAGTTTCAGTCCCGTGATGAGGCCTGAATCCCGATTGGAAGGGATCCAAATGGTCCGCTTCTTCCAGGCGTGCCTGGAGTTGTTCAGCAACCACTTGCTCAATCACCTTGCCCAAGAATGGAAGATTTGAGACTGGGCGATAGTTGGCCATCGTGGCCGCATCTAAAGATGGTTTTTTAAGAAGCGGTTTAATAACCGCCTCTTTCAGCGGGTCTGGGAAGGCTCCCTCACGGAGGGAAGCATTCACCACCCCACGAAGCCCATCGCCCAGCCCTTCCCGGCTAGCTTTTATAAGCCAGGATGGGCAAGGATCAAGGAGACAGGTGGTTGGTTTCACTTGTCCAAGCAGCCTGTCCACATCCTCGGAGGTAACAGATTGGAATTGATCCCACGCAATTTGACGAGACAGGACTCTAGCACTCTCCCGCCCCGGCCCTGCTCCCACGGTGGAGTCTACCTCTTCCCGAATCTGAGCGACTTTATCTGTAAAAAACTTTGCAAAATCATTGCAGGAGATCATGTGGCCCGTACTTTATAATGTGACTTTGATTTTCCTTTGATTTATTATGGTTTGCATCCTTCATAAACCGAAATACATTCGCTGCTCTTCTGCTGATGTAGTTTAAATACATTTTCTAAGCTGATCTCTGTCATAACCCTCTCATCCACAGGGGAAATTAAGGTTCCAGTTTCAGACACGGGTCCATCTAGCTCAGTTTAGGTACATGGATTGGCTGCAGGCCCCCACGGTTTCAGACAAAGGTCTTTCCAACCCTGCCTAGAGGTGCTGGGGAATGAACCGGGGATGTTCAGCATACAAAACAGTTCTCTACCACTGATCTACTGCCCATTTCTCAAGCGGGGCTGCTGTAACATTCCACAACATTAGCAACTGTCAGCGTTAGCAGGAGATATGTTATGCAATGTTATATAATTTTATAAAACATTATATGCACCCACACACATGCAGCCTACTCTGAAATTAGCATTACCCCCAAACCCTGCAAATGTGCAGTTCCCCTCCCTATCTGCTCACCCTCCAGCTTTATTCTTGCAGGATGGCGAAGGATTAGAATTGACAAATGTTCTGTCCTTTGAAGTGCTTGGACAGCAGAATTCTTATCTTAGTGTTTCCCGGAGGCTCACGGAAAAACAGACTGTCACAGGAAGACATGAAGGATGACACACTGTGCATATATGCAGCCTGACCCCCAATTCGCACAGCACTCAGTTGCCCAGCCTAAGCGGCAAAGAAATTGCCAGCATCGTGATCTGCTTCTGAGAAACCAGAAGTACAATTTATGAAAGCCACGGATCAAGCAAACATGGGGTGGAATTGGGTGATGGATTTATGTGTTTTTTAATAACTGCTGTCACAGAGCTGCTACTTCAGGGTTCTAATCACATCAACTTTGGTTTCTAAGCAGCAAGAGGGAAGTTAATTCAAGGTAACAGCAAGGATGTGCACTGTATGCATGTTTCCTAGAAAACACATGTCTGGAAATAACTTAGAGCAAGGCACCTAACCTTGTTTTAGCCACAATGACTCACAGTCAACCCTCTGAGGCCTGCATGGTAAAGTGAGCATGGCTGGGATAGAAAAGTAGGTGTGGCTGATCTGGAAAATGAATACCTTTAATTTTCTTTCTATCCAAAGTCAGGCTGTTCACTTCCTTAGTCCCTTCCTCAACTCATTTGCATTTTTTAAAAAATGTTTTTTTCTTTATTGTGGTTCCTTCAAAGTCCCTCCTCCCCTCGCCAAAATTTTCCCAAATACTTGCAATTTGCTTACCAATGAGATTAACAGGTGATGCTGACTTCAATACTTTTATTCCCCTCGATTAATAATAATAATAATAATAATAATAAATTTTATTTATATCCTGCCCTCCCCAGCCGAAGCTGGGCTCAGGGCGGCTAACAACAATCAAAATAGTCCAACATTCGAAAACATTCATTATAAAATTAATTAAATCAAATTAAAATCAAATTAATGGCAACCATCAAGCAAAATTTTGTGCAGATTGCCAGAGGAGAGGGTCAGGCTGCACCCTGACCAAAGGCCTGGTGGAACAGCTCTGTCTTGCAGGCCCTGCGGAAGGATGTCAGGTCCTGCAGGGCCCTAGTCTCTTGTGACAGAGCGTTCCACCAGATTGGAGCCGCGGCCGAGAAAGCCCTGGCTCTAGTTGAGGCCAACCTAACCTCTCTGTGGCCTGGGATCTTTAGGATGTTTTTATTTGCAGACCGTAAATTTCTCTGTGGGACATACCAGGAGAGGCGGTCCCGTAGGTACGAGGGTCCTAGGCCGTATAGGGCTTTAAAGGTTAAAACCAGCACCTTAAACCTGATCCTGTACTCCACCGGGAGCCAGTGCAGCTGGTATAGTACCGGATGGATATGATCTCGCAGCGAAGACCCCATAAGGAGTCTCGCCGCGGCATTCTGCACCCGCTGGAGTTTCTGGGTCAGTCTCAAGGGCAGCCCCACGTAGAGCGAGTTACAATAATCCAGTCTGGAGGTGACTGTCGCGTGGATCACAGTGGCTAGGTCAGGGCGAGAGAGATAAGGAGCCAACTGCTTAGCTTAGCGGAGATGAAAAAATGCCGCCTTTGTTATAGCTGTAATCTGCGCCTCCATAGAGAGGGAGGTATCGAAGATTACACCCAAACTCTTAACGGATGATGCTGGCACTAATTGCACCCCCGCAAGAGATGGGAGTTGCCTCCTCAATCCCATATCGCCCCGTCCCAGCCAGAGGACCTCTGTCTTCGAAGGATTTAACTTCAACCGGCTCCCACGTAACCATCCAGCCACAGCTTCCAGACATCTGATCAGTGTGTCTGGGGCCGAGTCAGGATGGCCATCCATCAACAGATAGAGTTGGGTGTCATCGGCATACTGATGGCAACCCAGCCCAAAACTCCGGACAAGCTGGGCGAGGGGGCGCATAAAGATGTTAAAAAGCATCGGGGAGAGAATCGCACCCTGAGGCACTCCACACACCAAGGAGTGGCGCGATGACAATTCCCCCCCAAGCGCCACCCTCTGTCCCCGACCAGAGAGAAACGAGCGCAGCCATTGAAGGACTGTGCCCTGGATCCCCACGTCGGCAAGGCGGTGGTCCAGGAGTTCGTGATTGTTTCTATTAACTTCACTTCTATTAATTGCTGGCTGGCTGCACTGTTTGTCCTGCTTCGATGCCTTTGGCAGCACTCGGGAACGATCATTAATCATCAGCTGCTGCAGGCATCACAGTGGGAGGGATAATGCAACCAGCAGTTAATAGAAGTAAATTGAAAGGGCTTTTAAGGAGTAGCGCTATTAGGTGCACACCTAGAAGCAGCAACAGGAAATAATCGATTAGACATTTGAGTATTTTTAAGAAGCCCCAGGGCTTTTCTTCAGCTGGAACTCACCAGGACTCAGTTCCGGCTCCTCTCAGGAGGGCGCCATTGCCATTCTAAGAGAACAAGGGAGGTGTTCATGGTGAGTTCCAGAACCTCTTTTGCTAGAAAAAATAGCTCTGAGAAGCCCCAACTAAGTTAAAAAGCAGCAAAACTTATCTAAGGGCACTTGTGAAAGCCCAATGAAGGTAATTAAACATGGAAAATTGTTTTTTTTTTTGGGGGGGGGAGGTCTGCAAGCCACCCCAAAATCCCTTGGCAGGCTGTTTGTATGCTGCAGTCCAGCTACCCTTGACTTAGAGGCACTCCTGATTATGAAGAAGAGGTCGTTGCTGAGTGGGGAAAGTGTGGTGATTTCTAAGCTTCAGGAGGTAAACCTCAAGCACATGAACTGCAAATGCACTGAAAGTTTCTTGAACTCAAGTGACAAGGGTTTTTTAAACAGCTTGCAACAAGCCACTTCTTTCACTGTCATCATACCTTAAGCTACAAATGAAGCCTAAGCATAGGCCAGCTGAATATGGCTCTGTAAAACTGATCTTCATCTATCACTACAAGGAATGCAGGAGTATATTTGAATGTTGCCATGGCAATTGCTAGAATATTTATATAGTAGCCTCGAAAGCAACTTGCTGCTTAGAAACAGAGCTCTAAGGACTGCATGTTGTACTGTAGCTTATCTGCTGAAAATTTAAATCCCCCCCAAACACTTTCACTATTCAATTAAGAAATTCATCAATCTTGTTCACAGTTAACCAAATGGCAAGTCGAAGGCACACTCTATTGATGACATTTTCAGAAAGGTGCATACAGTGGTACCTCGGGTTAAGAACTTAATTCGTTCTGGAGGTCCGTTCTTAACCTGAAACTGCTCTTAACCTGAGGTACCACTTTGGCTAATGGTGCCTCCTGCTGCCGCCATGCAATTTCTGTTCCCATCCTGAAGCAAAGTTATTAACCTGAGGTATTATTTCTGGGTTAGTGCAACAATCCAATGGTGCAAGATCCCACGGCATTTCTATTGTTGCTCTCTACCAACAAATATAGTCCACTTTGAATGCTCAGTTTCAGGGTGGTGTTTATGGTCTTTTCACCTCGGTCTTCAGATCTGTTTCCTAGCTTTAGAATTCTCAATGCTGTAAATAAACCTGTGCTTGTTTCCAGCCAGGTTCTTACAATGGAACTTTTATTTTGCATCTGTCTGTCTCAGGAAACAATGGAAGAGTGTGCCATTGTGAGTAAAGTCAAACTGTTACAGCGCCTGCTGTGGTTGTAGAGACCAATATGGGAGAGACATGCATTATTGCAGGTGGGGCAAATGAAGCCGTCGGTTTCACTGTTACAGAGGAACCATGGCATTTCTTCTTCTCTCTGTGCTCTTGCCAGCACTCATGTCTCCTCTGGTCACTGCTGTGGATAAACCACCTGTCTGTCTCTAGGCCCTGTGGTTGTCTGCAAGGGATTTCTACACAGCAGGGTTAATGTTGCCAGCCTTCATGTCGTATCTGCAGGCATCTTTGTAACACAGAATTCGTCTGCCAACAGGCCTGGTATCTGAAGCCAGTTCCCCGTAAAGCAAATCCTTGGGGATCCTGCCATCTTCCATTCTGTATACACAAACAATCCAGCGTAGATGTCACTGAGACAGAAGTGTGAACATGCTGAGCATGTGGGCTTGGGAGAGCACATATTTGTTTGAGACTCTGTCCTGCCATATGATGCCCCAAATCTTTCTGACACAGCGCATATGGAAGGCATTGAGGTGTCACTCCTGGTGGGTGTACATTGCCCGTGTCTCACTTCCTTCTTACAATGGAGATTACAGATCAGAATATGAAATCAGCAGGAAAGACATGAACTTCCAAAGCTCCAGAGACTTCTAAGCCTCTTAACCCTTCATTCATCTCAAGCAACAACTACCCTGAAACAATATGTAAGCTACTGTTTTCCTTTAGAGCAGAATACCAACCTGCTCTACGCGGCCTTTCTGCATCTCCAGCACAGCCAAGTTATTGTAAGCTTCTGCATGATCGTTGTTGTTGGCCAAGGTAAGTTTGAAGCACTGGTAAGCCAAGCTTATATCCCCTATTCCCTGAGAAGGAAAAGTCAAAAATACATATATATATATTTTAAAAGTTGCCATCGTTTTCACCCTTTAGTGTAACCAAGAAACAGAAGCAACAGTATGTATGTAGCTCAAGTCGCTTAGATCCTGGAACAGTACCCGAACCACTTTATTTTTCCTTATTTCCTTGGGAGGCCATTGATTCCTATGGATAAGATTATGCTGCACATGAGGGCAATATTAATGTGAGAAAACCTGCTCAGACACCAGTTGAGCCAGCCTCCTTCCCCCTCAGAGATCTTGCTTGGGGAGGGGGTAGTGTGTGTATACACATATGAGCTCATCCGTCACCATGCCTGCCATATTCTACTAACCATTTTGTCATGCTCTAGAAGAAGAGTAAGGATGTGATTGGACTATAACTCTCATCATCCCTGATATCAGGATTTAAACCAGGGAAATTCTGAATGCAAAGCACTTTCACTACTGCTGAGCTCTGGTCCTTGGCTACATGCAAACTCTAGGCTTACACACAGTATGCTGCAAAATCCCACAATTGCTCCCAGCGACTGGCAGAGGGCACTGATTTATGTGTGTGGTTATATGCATCTCAATCAATTATTGCACATCTGTTAATACACAGAGATGTGGACAACATAAAGAGGAAGTCTTTTGAAGTTACTCTGGCATAGCATTGTACTGCATTAGGTTGATTCAGAGCCAGGCTTTAATACCAGAGCAGTTTTTAATGCTGTGATTGCAGCATAGGAAATAGTGTGCCCTTGAAAGGTGTGTGAGGGTTTTGCCACAGAGGAACAAAAGCTTGTCCAGAAATACTTTGATATGGCTTGGGCTGGGGGACTTTTAAGTGCAAAGGACAGCTTTAAGCAGCCTTCTGCAGTGCCATTATCTATTTTTGCTGCAATTCACTCCTATTTCCTTTCCTGCCTTCCCCAACATTCACATTGATTCTGCTATGTAGAAAGCAAAAGCACTCCTCCTTGCATCCTTTTGATCTTCAGAACTAGGTCTGTATCCCTAATCCAAGCAGAAACTGGGCAGTGTTATTGACTTGCAAATAGCTTTCTAGGATGACGTTTCATTATTTCCATACAAAAGTTTCAATGAAGTATTCTTAACTAGTACTAGCTCTTACCACAGCTACATGTCCCAAGTTGTACCACACATCTGCAGCCGCCTCCTCGCTTTCAGCAAGAGAGAGGGCACGTTCAAAGGAGCTGAGAATCATGTCATACTGCTGGGCATAGAAACAACAGAGGCCCAGGTTGTTGAAGAGCTGGCTGTTATAAATGCCCATCTGCAGGAGCCGTCTAGTTCAAGAGGGGAAATAAATGTTTTTCTTTTGTAGTATGGATCATGAAAGCAACTTATATATTGCATGAACACTACTCACATAATTTTTAGGAAAAAAGAAGTACGTATAAATAGTAATTTGACCCTTTGCTGTGGCATGATTTCTTTCCACGCTATTCGGCAACATCAGAAAACCAAAACCTCACGGAAGAAACACAGCCAGCGGTTCTTCCCACACTATTGCCAACCCTCCTGAAAAAACTGCATCAGAGAAGATAGTGAGAAAGAACTGCAACATGGGACTCTTCCCAGCTGGCATGGAGTCCACCTGTACCTCTATTGACAGTGATGGGTACTGGAGCATGCCCAGATTACACACCTGCTACTTCAGAGGGAGTTCATCTCTACCCAGAAGAGGCAGCTTCCCAAATTCCCAGACAAGGAAATAGCCTATCCACAGGGCCTCTGTCTTGGTCAAGAGTCAAATTCAGCATTCACAGTAGCTTCAACACCCACTTTCTAATATAGAAAGCTGGCCTTAAAATGATCGAGTGTCACTATTGTAAAATTTATATTAAAATGGGTGAAATTATTATTTGGCACTCATGTATTTCTCCCCCCCCCCAAAAAAAACCCTCTTATCTCCCAAAAGCAAAACAATTTGATGGGACTTTTCTAAATACTGTTCAGCCATCATCATCTCCCATGAGGAGCACCTCTAAGTAGAACAGTCAAACAATGCAACCCCAGAAAGCACTTCTGTTGTCATAAAGTCTGGGGTTTCATCAGGTCTGAAACATTTCTAATGGCATAACCTTTCAAATACCAAATATACCTTTGCAATATCTAGAAAGTAAAGGGTAAAAAAAGCATTCCCCTTTGTTTCTGGGTTTCTGCGGAGGCTCATTCTGTCCAGCACTCAAGCACACACCTCTTTGAAATTTTATTTATTTATCATTTAAAATTATATCTCATCTTTCTGCCAAAGAGCTTTCATCAGACAACAAAGACACCCTTTGTTCTGTGGAGTCATAATTGCTACAAATGGCTCACAGAAACAGCCGGGGAAAGCCCAGAAAAGGAATTCAAGTGCATTATTTAGGCAGAAAATCTATGTTCCGGATAAGAGGAAAAACAATTTTAACATTGAGAACATTCAGAACACTTAACAGAAAAAGGAAACACAAATGTTTGCCGCAGCCTTCGGGGATATGTGGTGAATTAATGGGCTGTATACTACAGGCAGGTAGAACTAGTAAGAGCAGCTCAGAAATAAGGGACTAATTCTTCTAGTGCATTTTGGAGAAAAGGTTGCATAGAAACCTATTGGGGATGCTTTATACAAACAGGGCTACAGATCCTACACAGGTTCCTACTAGGGCTATCACATTAGGATTCTTGCAAAGATATCATCTAGTTGGCCATGCCCCCATCCCCAGATCTACACCAGCCATTAGTTTTCCTTTTCAGCTGACATAAGACTTGAATAAATGTACATCCTACCTGTAAAACCGCAATGCTATCTCCGGCTGGTCAGAATAAAAGTGATTACTTCCAATGCATGCAATGGCTTCCACATGGGTGTTGTCTTGTTTTAAGACATCTTTATAGCACTCTGCAGCTGCAGAAATGTTGTTCATTTCCTACAGATGGGAACATTGACACATTATAAGAGTAACTTTGATATATACATAAAACTGTAACAGTAATATTTCAAATAATAAGCAGAGACAAAATGGAACAGAGATTATACAAGTTTTATTAGACAGTATACAGCACCCCAAGTTTATATGCCTTCTTGCAAATTGCCTCTTCTCCACCTACCTCTTTATTGCCAAAGAGCAACTATACTGCAGAACGATAATTTTAAATAGCACTCCATATGTTTTCTCCAAGCCTACTCACAGTAAGTAGGCATGCTATTGGGTTTCTCTTGCTATTTATAGGCTGCAACAAGGTAAACAGTACTGCATAGTAGCATCAGTTTCCTATAGCATGGAAACACACTCTTCTGATTGACAGAGTAGGTTAGGTAAACAATCATGGACAAAGGTTTTTTTAAGGGCCACTTAAAAGCTTGGTTGTTAAAGTGTAAGGCACTGGCAAGCCTCCCTGGGGCTACAAGCCCACTTACCTTGATGTAAGTGCCATTGAACTTAATGGCACTTACTTCTGAGTAGACACATTCACATTAGAGTGGTTGATCAAAGGACAAGCTGCTCTCCCAGTCCTCTGCTATTAGAGCAATTCCACAGAAAAGGGAGAACAAAAAGCACAATGTGGAATGTTCACCATATAGTTGCCCTGAGCTTTTTCTTTTTAAAGGAAATTGTAAACAAAACAACATTTCAAATTCTTTCTGGAACAATGTTGCAGCAAATGTTAGATGGTAGTTGTTAAACAACTGTTCTCTGCATAAATATGTAATAGTGCCTAGCAAAGTGAAGACAAGGTTACACATCAGACAAAACTACAAAACTCTTGACAAATCTTGAATTCAAAAACATCTGTATCTTCCATTATAAAATTAGCATTGCAAACCCTTTAATAGCATTAACAGGCTTTCATCTTAAAAACAGGTGCATTGCATTCCACCCATCTACTGTATTTTATATTGCTGAATGATCCTCCCCCTCTCTAACTCCTGTTATGCTACAAGTTGGCAAATAACTGTGTTTTCAAGATAGTGGCTATCTTTTTTTAGTTTACCTTGAGCTATTCTGTTTATTATGTGTGGATTGTTTATTCAGAAATAAGTCTCCAATATCTCTTTTTTAGAATAGTAACCTTAATTTATTTTAAACACTGAATGTTTATCTTTGGAATTTTATCTTTTGTGAACTCCTTCATTGAATGTTATATTCTGTAAGCTCCTTCAAGGATATGGGGAAAGTATTTTGTTCATATATATATATAAATAAATACTGAAAAAGATACACTCTGCTGAAAGTGAAGCGAAGTGATTTACTGCAGGAATTCTTACTAGCATAAATGAATCCCCAAATGACAAATACTGATTAATTCAGTATCAGTCTATGAAAAGTCCTTCTCTCAGGTTCTTTGCCCGCTCAGACATTTGTTTCTTCTGTTTGAAGTGAACAACAAATGCTAGAGGAAGACAGAGGACTACAAGGTCAATATCAGGCAATGCCTCACTGGACTAAATGCAGATTTGCCTTTGAAGTTGTTTGAAGCTAGAAAGACAATTGCAACAGAACTCGGAATGGGTGTGCACTGAATGCAAAAAGCCCCAAGTTCAATCTATACCATCTTCCAGTCTGAAAATGTGGAGAACCACTTCTTGCCAGTGTAAAACACTTCAGAGTGAGATGGATCAATGACTGGACTTTCTGTATCATAAAGCTTTCTATGTTCCTATATTCCAGAATAAGACTACAATAATGGGTAGGCTTAGTTCATGCTTCCCACATCAAGCACTGAATAATCTGACTTGCATTACAACATGCGGGAAATTAGTGCTGTGAATTTTTGAGGACAAAAATGGGCACGCTGAACACTTATCTTTGTTTAATAATAATAATAATAATAATAATAATAATAATAATAATTTATACCCCACCCATCTGGCTGGGTTTCCCCAGCCACTCTGGGCAGCTTTCAACAAAGCATTAAAACAGAATAAAACTTCAAACATTAGAAACTTCCCTAAACAGGGCTGCCTTCAGATGTCTTCTAAAAGTCAGATAGTTGTTTATTTCTTTGAAATCTGATGGAAGGGCGTTCCACAGGGCGGGCACCACTACTGAGAAGGCCCTCTGCCTGGTTCCCTGTAACTTTGCTTCGTTTACAATAGAAACTTGTTTTACATACCTCGTGGATCCTGGCAATACCACAAATGAGGGAGACTTCTCCAGGAAACCGATCTAATCCTTGCTTGAAAACATTTAAAGCTGTCAGAGGCTGGTCTAAGCGGGAATACACCTGAGCAAATAAATGATGGGTGCATCTGCATCAATGGCTAGAATGATTCTAACACCTGACAAGTAGCTGTTTGTGGTATAGGTGCTACTTAAAAGTCTCTGAACAAGGCAGCATCAAGGTATAATATGAAAGGGTGGGAAACTGCCTCTGCACACTTTCCAGGACTCAACTCAGTTGTATGCCAGAGAGTCATAGCTCCATTCTCAGTTAAGACCTACATAGTGGGAAAAACTCAAGGCTGCCAGGAAAAACACCAAGTTTCCCTCTGCTTGGGCCCTAACAGATTTAGCTAGAGGAATAGGCATATAACCTGTTATGCAGGTGAACTCAATACCCAACCAATTTCTTCAAGCTGCATGGTGTAAATATATTGTTTTGTGAGAGCAAAACCTGTTGAGGTCACGCATACCAGTGAAATAACATGATAAAATATGTACTGCTGACACGGCATACAGAAGAACAGAAAGTCAGCTGTCACTGGTGTTCTCATTAAATGAAATAGGCAATAAAGCAAGAGCACAAAGTGGTACAAACAGTACCCAACTCTTTTCGCGAGGAAACAAATTACTATGACTACAATAGCAAATCCTCCCAAATTTTGCACTGAACCACAACTGTCTCCTTTGAAAAGGCACCTTCAGCAAGAATTATGTGACTAACAGGATACAGAACAGCTTGAAAATGTGTCTTCGTAAAAAGCAATAGAAATAAGAACACCAGGATCACTGCATTCATTTGCCAACTACTCCCTACTGTCTCTTCTATTGACAAACAGAAGTAATTGCTTCCTGGAGAGAAGGAATAAATGAGATTGGCTAGGTTCATTTTTATTAAAAGGCATGCTGGACTCTGACCATCTCAAAATGATATTACCAATAAAGGAGGTCATTTTAAGCAGTTTAACCACAACAAGCTACTCTCAGAAACACTCATCTCTATACGTTCGTCTTATATTGCATCTAAAGCAGTCTTCACTGTGAATTTCTGTCTGTTTATAGGCTATATAGCAGCTCCCAAAGGATTTATCCCAGCAATACCTGTATTAAAAAGTTTTTTAAATGTCTGCATTGTGCTTGTCTTGTTTCTTCTCAGTTCTTTAACACCTGAACCCATTTCTCTTTCAACAGCTTTCCATAATTGCTCCCCTTGATATAAACACATTCAGCAACAGATTTACATATAAAGGAAGATTACATGGTACCTTGTTAATTCTGAAAAGCAACATATTGGGGGGAGGAGAGGAGAAAGGAGAAAGGGAAAGATGGGGGTTTCACACAGCTAGAGAAGTCTCAGTTGAAGCCACACATAACTAAGCAAGCAATTCAATTGTTCTCTCCCTTCAGTGGTGCGCACCACTACAGGTGAAAAGCCAGCTCTGCTTTTATCCACAATATTGTACATATAGCTAATTAGATATGCAGGTTTTTGCATAAAGAGGGTAGGGGGATGACAATACATGTGATGGACAAGGAAATCAGTGCAAGTTTGCTACTTGCAGCACCAAGGAGTATTACAGAAACCAGAATTGCAGTAAGAGTGATGGCTTAAGAGTTATTAAGCCTAGAGAGCTATTAAAACTACCCAAACGCATGCAGCTAAAAAGAAAGGAGTTCTAGAAAACTGCACTAGTAACTGAAAAACAAAGCCAAACAATTTTATTAACAACAATAGATAAAATTCTTGACCAACCTGTAAAAAGGTTAAAATATTAATATTTTGAAAACATTCAAATTCAAGGGCTTCAGTACTGCCGTCACCACACTTCCAGGTTACAGTTTCAAACTTTTAATCTGAAATGATTAATTTTTTCATTGTAAAGTCCAACTTACTTTTGCCAAATACAGTACTGTATCTACCATATCCTGTTGTCTCAAAGCGGATTTAAATTGTGTTTCTGCTTCACGATATAATCCTAGCCTGAGGAAAAATGCAATAAAAGGTATGACAAAACTGTAGAAACATGGCAGGGGGGAGATTACATTTTTATAAATATTCTAAATTAAAAAGCACCATCAACGTGGAAAAATATGGGGGAAATAGGACATTGGAAATTAAAATTTTAGTCTTCTCCACCTCCCCTGTCAAAAGAAGTAGATAGCCCATGGCAGGGGAATAAGAAACTCTCAGCCCATCTTTTTCTGCTTGGACTGGACTAAATAGATGGGAAAGCTGGACAGGGATAAGGGAAGGATTGACAGGTGTGGACCAGGCCTCTGTTATGTCCTATGGCAGGGACAGCCAATGTGGTGCCCTCTAGATGTTGTTGGGATACAACTCCAATCATCTCTCATCATTTGCCAAGCTTACTGGGGCTGATGAGAACTGGAGTCCAACAATACCCATGCTGGCTATCCCTGCCGTATGGGGATCTCCCTCTGGGACATTCACTGGGTTGAGCAGACTGGACTGAGCCCCAGGTTTAAGAACGGGTGAGATGCTTTACCTGTAATAACATTTCCCAATTTGAACTTTCCACCACCAGTCCTTGAACTGAGCATGTTGCGTGGCATATGCTGCCAAATCTAAAGCCTTGAAAAACAAAACACTTGTGAGATTTAAACACACACGGATTAGTAACATGTAAAAAAATAAAAGAAAAAAGATTAAAGCAAAGAGTACAACACAGTAGAAAAATACTGGGGTTTGACTGTTTTTAAAATGTTCTATTAGGTGAAAACCAGAAAGGAAAGTAATAACCTTATCAGTTTTAAGGACTTGCAGAATTAACAGATGTGTTTCATAAATGCAAGCCAAAAAATGTAATTAATAGCTAAGGTGCTGCAGCACGACTCTTCCTCATCTCAAGTATTATCTGCTTTTAATTGGATCAACACTTTCAGGGCTTGCAGATTTAATACAAAAAATGTACACGTTCCCCAAAACCATACTAGCCTGCTTATAAAGCCGGAGAATGAGGGAGTAGAGTTTAGAGAGCTGTAAAAGTGGCAGTAGCAGCCAACTAATCATTAAATTCTTCACCATTGAACAGTATTTTGAAACACTGGCTGACACACAGAGGGGAGCTGTGTCAAGCGTGCACAGATCTCACAATGTGCATTCTGTATGTGCAATAGCATTTCCCTAATACGCTTCTGTATCATACCCAGTTTTTCAACAATCAGCAGTTTCAAGGGGGAAATCTGAGGCTGGGGGCTCTATTAAGAAGGAAATTCTTTAAAAGATTTAAGACCCTTGGTTCTTCCCAGTCTTGGTTAAACTGACATACTTGTTGGAGAAAGGGAACTTGGAATGTTTTAATTTAAATCACATATACTCCTCCTATTCCTAAGCCATTTAGATGCAGAAAAGTTCCACTCCAGAAAAACTGTCTTAATTTGGCAATGCACATGCATCAGCTCATGTGCCCATCATTCTTTATTAGACTCTTTTCCCCTCCAGCAGTTTCCTGCAAATATACACGCAAGCTTTCTTTCTTTCTTTCACTCATTCCTTCTAGCTGGAAAGACAGCTTGTAGCTTGGAGGGGAAAAGTGCTAGAGGAAACAAAGCCTCAAACAAGCAGTACATTTGTGTTGCTTGCATATGTGTAAAGCGCCTTGCCCAGAACGGGTTGTTACGGTGCATAGAACATACATGGACATATCAAAAATGAAAGCATTGTTTATCTCAACTAGAGGGAATTCTGTGGTGATTTATATGGCTAGTATACTTCTGCTCTGAAAACAATAATTTATCAAAGTATGGATGTAACTGGTGAAAAACCTGGTACGCCACATGATGGGAGGTGCTGAAATAAGCAACAATCTTCATACTCACGGTACTGATAGAGAAAAGCCACTAAAGAGTGAATGTATCTAGGCCCAGGAAGCTGGGTGACCTTGGGGCCAATACTGCACTCTTAGCCAAACCTACCTCACAGGGTTGTTGTGGGGATTAAATGAGGATGAGAACGGAAAATAACATAGCGCAACTGACTTGCGAGGTGGTGTGTTGTGCGATAAGCACACAGAGTGCAATGAGATTGAGTGTTTGGGGGGGAGGCTTGGTTAATTTCACCGTACACAGGCTGTACATTGACAATAAAGGTTATTATTATTATTATTATTATTATTATTATTATTATTATTGCCACGTTGTGCTCCTTGGAAGAAAGGTGGGATATAAATGCAATACAGTGGTGCCTCGCAAGACGAAAAGAATCCGTTCCGCAGTTTTTTCGTCTTGCGAAGCAACCCTATTAGCGGATTAGCGGATTAGCGCTATTAGCGGTTTAGCGGCTATTAAAGGCTTAGCGGCTTAGCTGCTAAAAGGCTATTAGCGGCTTAGCGGCTTAGAAAAAGGGGGGGAGCGAAAAAAATTGCAAGACTAGCAAGACGTTTCGTCTTGCGAAGCAAGCCCATAGGGAAATTCGTCTTGCGAAGCAACTCAAAAACGGAAAACCCTTTCATCTAGCGGGTTTTCCGTCTTGCGAGGCATTCGTCTTGCGGGTCACCACTGTAAATAAATTTAAAACAAGCGGCCTTCTTGAGTTGTGAGTTTAGTTTATCTTTTGCCTTTCCAGAAGTTGCAACTTTGCCCCACTTAAAACTCCTGTATACCAGTTGAAGAAAATTCTACTTCTATCTCATACTCAAAAGTAACATTTCAACTGAAAAGAGCCCTTTAAGTTAGAAATAAATAAGACTTACGTTCTTGACATCATTCTCATGGTGAAAAATGTATTCAAACAATGCCTGTAAGGAGAACAATTTGCAATATTCTGTCAAATTGAAGAAAAAGAACAAAAGCTATTTGCAATTAAACAAAGCAAGCACTCAAGTTGTCCGTTTAAAAGTCACAAACATATTTTATACAAACTGTTTTATGCAATAAGGAGTTTACATTGTGAAAGCCAGCACATGTCAGGAAAGTATTCTTAATTTTACATCTGAACCAGGGGAGTTTTTCATTATACTGGATGACAGTGAAAGATCCCTGAACACTTCTACAGTTTGGATTTGATATCCCGCCTTTCACTCCCTTCAGGAGTCTCAAAGCGGCTAACAATCTCCTTTCCCTTCCTCCCCCACAACAAACACTCTGTGAGGTGAGTGGGGCTGAGAGACTTCAAAGAAGTGTGACTGGCCCAAGGTCACCCAGCAGCTGCATGTGGAAGAGCGGGGAATCGAACCCGGTTCCCCAGATTACGAGACTACCATTCTTAACCACTACACCACACTTAACCACATACACCACACACATGTACCTGGGGCACGGGGTGTGTATGTGACACCAACCTCCTCCCAAATTGCGAATAATGCCCCCCTCCCTAGTACTCTTCCTAAATGTTCTCCAAAAATGGAGGCAAGGCCCCCTCTGACCATCCTGAAATATTGAGCACCATTTAAACGTGGAAGGCTTCTTTTCATCAGACTCACAGCGGTCAACGTTTCCCTTTTTTTATGGGAAATTTCCTTATTCCGAATAGGATTCCTCGCAAGAAAAGGGAAAAGTTGACAGCTATGATCAGACTGCAGGAAATATCAAAGATGGCCTCTAACCCTAGCATCCTTCTAATACCAGCATCACCTCAGGAGGTTGTTCTCCCAGGAAAAGGGATGATTTCAAGACACATGGGATGTCTTGGTTTAGTTCTTCACTTCTCCTAGTGGTGAAAGAAATGTGATAGGGACATGAGAAAGTGTGTCCCACGGCTCTTCTAGGGGAAAACCCTCTGGGAATGGGAAAGATCTGAATAGACTGTAGCAGCAAGCAAATGAGTGATGACTTCCAGCTCCTTTATGACATTTCCCTCAATGCTGAGCGAGTCACTTAACCCTGCCCTGCCTTCCAGCACTTTTCAAGTTCCCAAAGGGAAAGTATGAGCAATAAAAATTTGCATGGTATCTTAGATGGGATTGAGACACATCTTGGTGGCATCAGGATGGGGAGATAATGGACAAATTTGCCTTTTTTGTTGGCTTTTAGTTCCTTGAATATCAATTATGTAACACACATTTTAAAAAGACCTTTATTTTAATGAGCAGGGAGATAGCGCAAATGTACTACAGCTACCACCCTGAAATCAAATTGAAAAAATCCCATGCAACGAGAATTTTTAGATCAGCAGCACATATGTAAGTTTGTGCTCTGAGCCAAAGATTTGCACTGCTTTATCGTCTTGCATGTATGCTTAAAAACCCATTAGATAAGGTTATCATCATCTTTTCAACTTAGCAAGTGGCCTACTTTCATCAAATTATGGCTTTTGTAGGAAATGCCTACATTAAACGGTTAGAATGGTGTTTTCTGGCTAATGCAAGAAATAAGAGAGTATAAATATTCTTAACCATATAAATTACCTAAAACAAAATTGCACCTCATTACCGCTTACTCACATTCGGATTAGAAGTATAGGTTCTACATCTCTGAAAAATTCTTAACTATAACATCACTGTACTTTCTGGTGTAATATATAATGAAAGCATTAATTTTGTTTTCAATGGGCTATTTGTGTAAATCTGGAAGCTGCAGTCCTCCAGATGTTGTTAGACAACAGTCCCCATCAGTTCCAGTCAGTACAGTCAATGGTCAGTGATCACTGGAGCTGTAGTCTCAACCTCTGGAGAACCACAAGCTCCCCAACTCTGGTATAAATTCTTAAAAGTTCTTTTCAATACCAGACTCTTCCAACAGAAGAATAGAAAGTATTCTTTTAACCCTTTATTGCCACTGTATGGCCAAGCCAAGCAAGGCTAACTATGACTGGTCTTTGGCTACTTGGTCTTCCTCTGGCGTAATATTTAACTACAACCAAGCAACCTTTAGCAGACTCTGGCACTGCATGTTCCTTTCTACCACACTCATTCTGGTTAAGCACTGGGGCCACTCAGACATTGTTTGGCATTAAGGGAATGAGCAGGAACAAGTCTCAGGTTTGCTGCTCCTTTCTCCCCTTCAGCACCAAGATGAAAAGTTTCTGACTGCAGTTTGCAGCGTATCATAGTTTACTGGCTTCAGACACAACACCATGCTATGAGAGCCCCAGGTATAGAGCGGTATGTAAATTGAATTAATAATAATGATGATGGCTGCCACAAGCCATAAATAGAAACTTCTAATTTCAAGGATGAAAGAATGACAGCCTGCTCATTTTTGTAACACCAAACTATGGTTTGATGATACGTCTGAAATGCCTCATTAATGTTGCTACTAGCGTAAACCTAGTTAAGTTCAACTAGGGTTTCTGGTCAACCAGGATTCAAAACTAGCTCAGAACCCTGGTTTAATTACTAACATTGCTACTGATGCAACTGCTTCCCTTTGAAGGTAGAAATTTGTGCTCCATTCGTGCCTGGAGAGGGCAGGCAACCCTCCAGTCTGCTTCTGACTGCTTAACCTTGTTAAATAATTGGCAATGTTATGCCTAAACAAAAAACTAATGCAGAAACAGATACCTATTTCACCCAAATCAGCAGGAAATTAGTTGCCCCTCATTCCTAAACATTTGCTTACATATGACAAGGATTTTAAAAGATATAAGACTACGTTTAAGCAAACAACGCACCTTTGCCAACTTTGGTTTCTGAGCATAATTATTTAAGTTGAGTTTAGACACGTTTATAAATGGGCCATCAGGATTTGTGAGCATAGAGGCCTGCAGGGGGAAAGATACCACAGAATTGCTTAACATGCATGTTTAAATAATCACCAGCAAAAAATACCGTCTAGCAAACCATTATCTGAAGAAACAATGCAAACTTACTACAGCAGGCAACTGAATTTGCTTGCCAAATTCTTCCCCACCCTGCCATGGATCAAATTGACATAATGTCCTCATAATGTCCTCAGGTGACTGAACTCTGACAAGTGCCAAAGGCAACCACCAAACAGCAGTTACAGCAACCTCCTGTGAAGACATACTTTTGAGTACATCTTCAAAAAAAGGCTCTCTGTAACTCACAATCAGCTGATTTTCAGTTATTGGGCACATCTTTGAAGTCAATTGTTTGAACTTTTTCCTCTCTGTACAGAAAAGCAATTCATACTCAAAGCAATAGGAAGCACTTTGAAAACAAACTGCTCTCCTGAATTATTATTTTTAATGCTCATTTGTATTCAAAGCATTCCCTTGAATGCTTTGAATACAAACGGCTTTCGGTGAGGGAAGGATGTTCCTTTAAAAATTGGCCTTTCTTTCTTTGGCCTCCTTAGAAAGCAGCTTGGGGTTTTTAGGGTTGCAGGAAGCATTTTGAATCCAAGACACTTCCTCCATCTCCCCTCAGCTGCACCAGGGAGTGCAAGGGAACTCCCCAGGGTAGGCAGTCCCAGCTGACTGTCAGGGTTTCAGCTGCACAGCAATCTCTTCAACCACCAACAATCAGCTGATCAAATATGATGTTCAAAGGCATCATAAAAAGCAGCTCTTATATAAAGCACATAACACTCTTATTCAACTTCTCTTACCCAAGAAAGATATGCAAATTTTCCATTACATGTGCTAATATTTTGAAAATACAGTTTTTAGATTACTATAGGAGAGATTGAAGAAAATGTAGCCAGGTAAAACACCAAGGACTAGCAAGATGAAAGTTTTATTATTTTAATACACACATATGCACTTCAAATTCCCAAGGTCTCAAATACTGTGTGTGTTATACTTATTAATAACATGCTCAGTTCTTTCTCGTTCCTTACCGTTCCAAGCCTGACATATCGCCCTGAGGCGCTAGTCATGGGGCGGGCAGTGTGAGCGGTCCTTGGAGTCCTTATGGCCTGTTCAATTGTACCTGGCCGTCCACTCTGTGTACTGGGTCGCACAAATCCTGTAAGGGGTCTTCCTGTCTGAGTCACCGGCCTGAAATGATCCACAGATTGAAAGACACCATGTGTCTGCCTTAGCAGACATGCCACTGGTTATATCTGCAAATAACTTCTGAAGTTCGTGTTGCACTCTGTTACTGTTAGTTCTATATGAAAATTAGTTCCCAGTTAAAGGAATACTAACAATAACATAAAACCCCATGTGATTATTTGGAAAGACAATTTATAACACCCTTCATACCATTTAACTACTTTGTTATTAAAGTGTTGTAGAGTACTAATTTAGGCGTGTGTGTATATACATACGTATATATGTATACACATAATTTAAATACCCCTCGTGTGTGCTTGTTCGCCATGCTCTGAGCATCTTCCAAATCTCACTGCTTTTGTTCACATTCCAGCACAATTATATTTTCACATGTTTGCTTACATAAGGGAAGACCAGGGCAGGCGGGAGGTGAAGGAATCATCTGATTCAATGACCAGTCTGTGGTTATGAGTCAATGAGGGCAGGAAATGCATAAACAGCAATACAGAAGCAACTGAAGAACTTAAAGTGTGAAGAACTGCCGCAGAGGGTGTAGGAATGGATAAATCAAAAATTTAAGAGACACTACTCGCTGGACAGCATTTACTAGTGAAGGGCCACAGTGAACTATATGTAGTGCATTGACACCTGGACTAATTAAATTTATCAATGAACTGAATACCTCACAGCTTGGCTAGGACCTCCACCCTGACCAGTTCCAGGGATTTTCAGTGAAGTACCAGGTCCTAAAAACAAAAAGAAGTATCATTATTTAATGTAACCAATAGATCAATCTCACCTCTCTAATTCTCTTCCCATTTATTTATTTTTTTAACCCTTCTAACTACTCAATAACATGAGGCAGAAAGTTTTCCTGCAGGGCAATCCTAAACTCAGCAGGGCATGACAGAGCGCTGCAGCTACTACCACAGTCAGTGAGGTTATATTCATTTAAAAAAACAACGAAAATAGCAACTACATCATATAATTGCATTAACTGAAAGTGTTCAGTTATGCCACAGTATAGTCTGTGGGAACAATACACTATTTAAGGGAATTGTTAAGTAATTTTGAAATGCCGGGAAGGGAGTCATTGTGTGGCCGAGACATTTTGAAGGAACTATAGATATAGCTTACGTGCAACTTGAGCAATAGCATTTTCGTCAAGCATCATCTCAGCGATGCCTTCCTGATCCACATCAATTTCATCCACGTAAACCATTTCTGTTAATGCTCGTATTTTTAAGCACCAAGCAGCCTAGATGATAAAGAGGGGAACCAAGGTTCAATAAGCCAAAACATCTACAAAAAGACAATGCAGTATCAAATTATACAGATAATACAGATGACTGAAGCAACTCAGGAATAGGTCTGTCGGCAGATGTGAGCAAAGGAAGAATAGCAAGATAAAAGGTGGAGACTGTGGCGCAGAGAACACTGGCTGGATTCTAGTCTGAGACACAAAAGTGAGAAAAAAACCGTGGATGGGGGAAGGCTGTAGTTGCCCTATGTTATTACGGTCCTATACAGCAAAGTTCAAGCTGAGATCTCTTTTCCCCATTACCGAAAAAGGAACAAATCTGTCAGAGCACTATCAGAACATAGGCAAAGGGGTTTTTAAAAACAGGATTTGTGATATGGAAAGGTATTTTACTATAACATACAGAGTATGAGCCAAAGTGCCCTCTAATGTCTGATATTTCTCAGAATTTGCTTTTAAAATACCAGAGGTGCTGTTGGTATGTGTATGGCATTTTCCTACAACTTTTCCTTTTAAAGGGCCCTCAGGCCACATCCTGCTTTTTGAATTTGGGCATATTTTGAGGAAGGGGGGGCTGTGCATAAGTATTTTGAGGGGGGAACTCAGTAAAAGTGAAGGTACGGATCCAGCACATGCATCTTCTGAATCATAAGCATATCGCTTTCAATGCAATTAATCCTCAGCCTTGCGGGGAGCACTTTTTGGAAAAAAACCACCCAAACCAAATAAAAGTAATCACAGAGCTGATATTCTGCTGTGTGTGTGATTGGCTCTGCTTTAGTTGTGTACCGACACAATTTTTTTGTGCTTACTAATAACCTGAAGGAAAGTATTCCGTGCAGACCAGTCAGTTTATTGAACAAGTACCAAAAGTAGCTTCTTCCTAATGGCTGAAAAACTCTCAACTCTCTTTTTTGGGAGGGCAAGGAAGAGAGATGTGCACCATCTCTACATATTCTCCCAGTCACTTAATAAAAACCTAATGAGCTAACTGAAGTTAAGGAAAAAAGCTAAAATGGTAAAGTGGAACTGCCAATACAGACCGCCATCTGTTTCTCAGGCAAAGATTTGCAATCAAAGTAAATATCAGGCTTTTTATTCACCACAGACATATGCTAAAAACGATGCAAAGCAAGCATTTCAAGTATCAAAGGAAACCTTCCAGATCACAGAAAACCCAGGGTTTTTCATAGCCAAAGAGGTTTCCTAGCGGCCGCCTGCCCATAGATGAATACAGGGATAGCTTCAAGAAACCTCCAGTTCTCTTACACAGACTACCCCACCCCCTGGGAAAAAAATGTTTCATATATTAATCTCCAGGGCAAAGGCATCCATGAACAAGATGTAAAGAAAGCAATGTACTTTAAGGCAGTTTAGCAGCTGGAAGTAAAGAGAAAGTTATATAATCAGCTCAGCCATACTTTAAAAAACCTACATGCTGCAATAATCACAGTAAAATGTCTGGAAGATCCCATGTTAGAGATCGTTAGGAAAACAAGCTGAAAATAAAACTGCCAATATTGTTATGCAAACTGGTAGCATTCTGGTTGCTGCACCTCAAAGAGAGTACTGTAGAGCTGGCAAAATTTAGGGGGAGAAATGCTATAGATGGGGGCAGAACAGCAGGAACATGATAGAGATGTATGGATTTATGCACAGTGTGGGGGAAGAGGTGAGAGGTTTTTCTATCTATTTCATAATGCTAGATTAGTTGAATGCTAGGTTAAGTCCCTTGAATGCTTATGGATTTCTCCTAACAATTGGCTACTGAAGAGAAGGAACAAGTAGTCAAGAGAACTTTCCATATATCTGATGCCCTATTGAAGCTATGAAGAACTCTGCTACCAAATCTTTTTAGCAATTAATTAAATCAAGGATGAATTTAGGTTTTTGGTTTGAATGACATTTTTGTTGTTGAGAAAAATGGACATAATTGTGTGCCTCTTTAACAATTTATATCTTGCCTCCTGCAAAATATCTAAGGCATGAATATATCTACTCTGTCTTTTGCCATAGCAAACAAATTGAGTTGATCATTTTAGCAGCTCTGAATATGAATACATTTGAACTCCCAGGATGCTCTGCCACCTACCTTAATGTGGCTATTCTTGAATGAAGGAATTTCAAAGGGAGGCGACAACAGGAAAATGATAAATAACAATTTATCTTATAGATTCAACTCTTATCACCTGTGACTTAAATTGGGATAATGGGTTTTGTATCATCTTCTATGAGTTTATTAGCTTATCAATGTCAGAATGTTTGTGTTTTCAACAATAGTGTTTCACCATTAAGCTTTTGTCACTGTCTGTACTTTATTTCATTTCCCTCAGACCATATTGTTTACAATCCCCTCTCCCAGGTGTACACATACTAGCAAGTCAGGATACCATTTATGCATCTGATGATAATGGACTCCAGTTCATTATGCCATAAGTTAAAGCTGATACAGTGGTGCCTCGGAAGACGAAATTATTTCGTTCCGCGAGTTTTGTCGTCTTACGATTTTTTTCGTCTTGCGAAGCATGGTGTCGGGAAAGTTTTGGAAAAGCTTCAAAAATCACCAAAGTCTTTAAAAACCTCAAAAAAGGCTACCACACCGCGTGCTATGAGTTGCTCCTCGAAGTCAAGTCGCAACTGTATTAACGGTGTTAAGAAAAAGGAAACAAACTTGCAAGACGTTTCCGTCTTGCGAAGCAAGCCCATAGGGAAAATCGTCTTGCGAAGCAGCTCAAAAAACAAAAAACCCTTTCGTCTAGCGAGTTTTTTGTCTTGCGAGGCATTCGTTTTGCGAGGTGCCACTGTACAGCAAAAACAACAGTCCTGATTGTAACAGGCCCGCACCTATAGACACTGCTCTTGCTCATTTTAGCAACCACTGAACAAAGCTCTCAGTATGCCAAGTGTCTCCAAGCTGTTTGGTACTGGGTGCTCATTTAGCAATCTAATAAACTTTTATGGGGATCACAAAATACCTGTTTTACAGAAGAAAAATGGCAAGGTTCAGAATCTCCACTAACAGAAAAACGTTTATGTACAGCCTAAACCAAATGAAAAAAGGGGGAGAAACAGACAACCTTCCTAAACAAACCACCACGATAAGTTTTTAAAACTCCTCCATTTCAGGTTTTTTAACAACAACAACAACAAAAATTGGGAGGGGCAGGGGGCCTTGGTGGGCACTAAGGGAGGATCGGTGGATGCTGTAGTGACCATGGGGACTATGCTGGTAGCCTGAGAAGTATGTCCTTCTATAGTCCTACATTTTGCGTTTTACACAGGCTTATGGAAAAAGTTCAAAAGCACTCTTAAGTGCAAGTAGATAAATAGGGACCGCTTTATAGCGGGAAGGTAAACGGCGTTTCCGTGTGCTGCGCTGGTGCTAGCTCACCAGCTGCAGCTTCGTCACGCTGGCCACGTGACCCGGAAGTGTCTTCGAACGGCGCCAGCTCACAGCCTCTAGAGTGAGATGAGCACGCAACCCTAGAGTCGGACACGACTGGCCTGTACGGGCAGGGGTACCTTTACCTTTACCTTTATGGAAAAAGGCTTCTATAAGCATTAAGCAGTCAGAAGTAAGAAACTTCAGACAACAATCCCCAGAGTGTAGTTTAAGTTAAACTCCTATTTTCCAGTAGCTTGGCAGGAGATGGCAGTGCCAAAGCCCTCATTCACACCATCTGGCTGGGATCAATACCACACAACCAGGCCCCTTCCCATCCCATCTGCTGCTAGGATTAAGAGAACAAAATTTTAAATATTACTTATTTCAGATTTTAAGGACAATTTTATGCAATCCACAGTCTGGAAAAGATATATACAGAGCTTGGATTATGATTTGGGTTGCGTCCCACCCTCAACTCCCTTGAAATCAACACTGCAGCTAAACATGTGCGATAAAATATACTTACACATGTCTAAGTAAGTAAGCAGCCCCTGTAAGTCCCATTGAATTCCATTTATAAATAAACTATTTTATTTATTTAACAAAACCTATGTATCGCTTACTCTAAGCAGTTCACAAAGAAAAATATAAAACATTCCTTTAAAATGGTGGTGAAAATGAACATTAAAAAAGTTAAACCTAACATCTGCAAATGTAACAAATGTAAACCAAATATAAATAAAATCAGCAACTCAAAATAAACTGTACATAATAAAATTACTTGTTAAAATGGCATGCCTGGATAGGCTTACTGAAACAAGCAAAAAAGCCTTTAGCATGAGCTGAAACCAACACAACTAAGGTGCTTGTCTCATATTAATGAGCAGGGAGTACAGCCACATTAAACAATCAATTCATTTTAAGAGCAGAATGAACATTATGTGGCAGTACACGTCCACAAATCGAAGCAGTCAAGTGGATACATATGGGGTGAGACAAGCCTTCAACCAAACTAGGCCCTTAAAGAGTGAAGCCCTTGAGATTAGCAGTTCCTTGAGATTAGCAGTCCTGGGTGTACTTGATGGAGATGACTTCATATATGAAGAATCGGTCAAAGAAGAAGGAGGAGGAGGAGTTTGGATTTGATATCCCGCTTTATCACTACCGTAAGGAGTCTCAAAGAGGCTAACAATCTCCTTTCCCTTCCTCCCCCACAACACACACTCTGTGAGGTGAGTGGGGCTGAGAGACTTCAAAGAAGTGTGACTGGCCCAAGGTCACCCAGCAGCTGCATGTGGAGGAGTGGGGAAGTGAACCCGGTTCACCAGATTATGAGTCCACTGCTCTTAACCACTACACCATGCTGGACGTGCTGATGGACAGCAGGACCATGGCGAGCTGAGGAACCACAGCTACGTTCACCAGGCTGGTGTTTCTGCTCATCATCTCAAGCTCCACGGCTTTGCTAGTGATTGTTGTGGCTTCTCCTCTGAGGTGAAAGGAGAACATGTCCCTTCCCACAACTCTTATTCTCGTATTCTAGAGGGGACTATGAAATCAAGCAGTATGCCTAAAGTCATCTGGAGAGTTTATACAATTTCAGCTCTGGAGA